ATTTCCCGTCGGCTAAATTGTGCACCGCATCTCCTTTATAATAATGCGCTTCATTATGAAAGTAAGTAGCGGATGCCAAGGACTAGTTAGCACAACGAAGACCCAAATGAGACAAGTTGTAGACTAAAAGCTTACTTGTAAGCGGATTTTGACATGCAAATTGGACGCGAGATTGTACGAAAGTAGCCGCTCTGGGATTGAAAGTCATGTTTACAATGGCAAATTATCTCTATCAGTAAACAAAGCCATTATACAAGAAAGGGATGTTTCAACACGTATTGCCGTACCCGCTTTTATTAAGAAAGTAAGAGATCTGTTTACTAAAGAGCTGAACGTCCGGAAATTTCATTCAAGTAATAGGAGCTTAAAAAAAACTTTCAGTCTGAGTGTGGAGATTGCAGGGGAGTTCAGCGAATATTAAATTATAATATATGTAGCCGGTGGCGCAAAATTTTAATTCGCCGCACAAAAATCGCGACTCTTAAGTGTAAATATAGCTAGTGATATTATATTGCCTGGCACGATGACAACCGATTTACTGCCAATTTTTTAGAATGAAAAGTTTTCAATTACAGGGTCACCCTCCATCCCTATTTCATGACTTTGTGCTAGCAAAAACTCGTATGTCGTATTGCTTAATTCAAGGTCTGTGTGCTCTGTACTCTAATAATTCCTTGCTTTCCCTTGGAGGTAGTAATTTATGCCCTCGACTCTAGGGCTTCTAAATCACTTTTAGTACGTTTATTTCCAAGATTCCAACACCTGCAACATCACATCAACGCGATTTACGTCCAATACACGAATTGCAACGTATTTTCTTTTTGGTACAAATCCCATCTTTCACAGGGCACCAAATTTGAACTCTCAAAAGACATTTAAGATCTTTTGAGCAGAAAATTTCCCAATTTTGCTGCAAAAGCTGTGAATACCGATTTTGGGACTAGCATGGAATCGGTGCATTCCAAAAAATTAATCAGAATAATTAACAAAAAATTTTAGAAAAATTGAGCATAATCTTCAATAAACGTTTACACTTTAATTTAGATTTAACGTGATCAACATCGTGAAATTCGAATCCTATTCCGTAGTAAATCTCCAAAAATTGGGAAACGAGCCGAAAGCTATTGAACATTCAGGATTCAGGGTGAAAATATCCCTAAATTGACATTTATTTGTCGTAAGAATTTGTTTGCGAATTGCTTTTGAATTTACAGAGAGTAAACAATTAATTCTTCGTAACGTTCAAACATATTTGAATTCTATATGATATATATTCGTCAACCGCGTGTAAAACTAAATACATTCCACATATTAGATGCTTAAGCGAGCAGTCAAGTGTTACGACCCTCAGAGTTTCAGTTCAACGTGGGGGAGAAAGTGAATCTTATCTGAGCTTTTCGAATTGTGTGGAGAAATGAACTCAATCAACGTTTACAGACAATACAGTTTAACGAAAATTCCCGGTCACCCGGAAAATCTGGGATTTTTGGAAATAACCGCATATATAAAAATGATTGTTTGTTCTTATTTCGTTTTTAATAGTAAATGTAGTTGCCGCTTACCATTTTTCTCTCACAAATCATATCAAACTAAAGGAGCTTTTGTTGTGCTTGAGACGTTCTATGTTTTCAGATTAAGTTGAAATTATGCCACTTAAGATCATTGTGATAAGTTTTTTGGAACGCCAAATGTAACGGCTCTGGGTTGATTGAACTCGAGCATTAGAGTTTAAATTTCCAGATGTTCCAGTTCCAGTGGTTTAAGGAATATCGCGATAGAAAATTGGGTATATATGGTTGAATTGCTAGAGAAGATATAACAAGTTCGTTTTAGAAATATCCTTTTCCTCTCGTCGAAACTAACTATTTTAATCTTACAAGGCAAAAACTTGTCCTCACTGTTACGTAAATAATTAACACGACCCCTTTCGCAAAAAGCGACAGCGGTAAAACCTCAAATCTTTCGTCTCACTTTATACAATTTGAAGCCTAATTGTATCAGGAAAATTTCATCGATTTTCCTTAATAAATTAGTTTCATAGAAACCCAGTAATTATAGGTTTTTCTCGCCTTCGGGTAAAAATGTCTAATTGGCACTTCGTAATTTTTGCATAGTTTGAACAAGATAAACTAATTAAATTACGGACTTTGTTAAAATTAAGGTTTTTAATTCACCAATTTATAATTTACGTAAATAGAAGGTCTGGAGAAGATTAGTTCTAAAAATTTTCTTGAGAATTTAATTAAGGAAATTGCTAATTTGAATATTGGTTGGATGAAAATTGCGAAGAATTTTATTTACGCAACGTACGAAGTTTTCATTGTTTTGTTACACGTAGTACATTACACGCAAACGTTAAGTGTTATTGTGCCGTTCAGAATTACTCGTAGATGCTTGTGTGAACGTATATTGTTTACCTAAAATCGATTATTTCCTTTCAATGGCCAATTTTCATATCTGCTTATTGTCTGGTGTTTCTTTGTAAATCAAAATGACTAAAAAAAATAAACTAAATAGGCTCTTTGTGGCGCTTAAATGCATTGTCTATGGAATCCCGCCTGTTAAGTTGATGAGATACCTTGACGTTACTGCCCAACTGTAACTCATACAGCTTACATCGGTAGAAAAGAGAAAATGTATCAAATGTTACTGCTGAAATATCATTTATCACTCTTGAACGACAACATTTTAAATTATGCATGAAAAACGGGTTATAAAGGAAAGAAAAATTATATTTTGGAAATACCTATTTGTAAATAACCCACAACATTTATGAGCAACTGTTCGCGATGTATAACACATACTGATATGCCTTTCGCTTGACATATCATAATAAATCATATCTGTCCTCAATTCTTTCGTCGTGAATTGTGTTTTGCGACTTTCTAAATGTAGAGACGCAACGTGACGCAGGTGTAGGTAGTGTTTGAGACAAATTTGTTCACGCAGTAGGAAAGTCAGTTAAAAGTAATAAAGCTCTTTCAGTAAAAGGGAATGGTGGTGTCACGGTCCTTAGGACAACTTATTTCCGGAGTACCTACAGTATTTAGAAGGTTAGGGTCGCTTCTTTAGCTTATTAGAATCTTTATTATTCCTAAAAGTAACGATCTAACTTGGCAGTTTCAGAGAGAAATTGAGGTTATAAAATGACGGGTAAATAAGCAAATATAGTGCGCATAAAAGACGAGCATATCCTCTAAATTTTGAATGTGGACCAAGGGACAGCTTACCTTTAAACCCTTGTGGACGGGGTTGCGATGTCAATTAACTACGCAAAGTTCCCTAAACGAGAAAATTCCATTTTCAATATTAAGTGCTAAATTAAGGGAAAAAGTCATCCGTTTTAATGGAATTTCGTATACCTACTTTTTAACACTCATATGCCGCGTGAAGACATTATAACAATTTTTTTAATGATAAATGCATGAAAGACCTGTCGAAAGTCGTCGTTCAGCATTTGTCCATTGCGACATATCTCTGGTCAGTATACAGGGGTTAAAAGAAGAATTATTTTTAAGGGGTACAGGTTTTCATTATGATATTTTGTTATTGTAAAAAAGATTTAAAAAGTGTGTTTAGCCAAACATCGCATATTTTTTGTCATGGCCAGTTTACGAGTATTGGATAACAGAACTGTGTGTACCTTTTGAGATCTCTAAAATTGTTTTTAGATCGACCGTTTGGAAACGGAGTGTGTTCTACTCAAAAGACACTGTTCGCCTTAAATTTTCTTGCAGGATTTTCTTGTATTCGTTTTTTTGTGATGTGTTAGAATAAATCCTTGTAATTTTTATTGAATCCCAATATGAAATCCAGGTAGTTTTATTTAACTATGTCAGATTTTTCTAATTTCTTTTTATCTGAATTTTATTTCCCGATTTTGTGCAAAATTTAAGTAGGTGACGATTTCATTAGAATATACGGAATTTGATTGAGGCGATCATCGGATCTTTTCAGTTTAACGAATTTATTCTCGGAACCCAGTTGTGCCCTGAGGTAAATTTTAAAGAGGAAAAAACTAAATTGTGCAAGTTGAGCTAGTTAGGTAAGCATATCGTTTCACACAGCAATACTTATTTTACAATTTTTGACGTTTGTTATAAATAAAACAAGATATGCTAGATTGCCGTTCCAAATTCGTCCAGTTCGCGCATGACGTCACGCGGTGATAAAATTTGAATTTACAGCCGGTTTTTTTTTAATTCTACTACAAATACTAAAATTTCTTAATTATAATGGTTTAGGGGAAAAAGAGAGTTGAAATTATAAAACCTAAACGCAAAATATGCCAAAATATATTAAGAGATCGTTAAAGACCATCTTTAAAAATGCTATAAGCTACAATTAAGCGCACCATAAAAAGAGGAAATGCAGGCGTTTTCCATAATATGGTAAGATACCTACTTATGCTAAAGTATCTAAACATTGTGGAGTAGATATTAAAAACGAAATGACTAATATAAAATATTGAATTATGTAGGTACACAAGACGTTATAATTTACTAGATTCAAAAACGCATTCGATAAGATAAAAATATGTTGAATTATTGTTCTTTATTGCTAGATACATTGGTAATATAGAATTTAAAAAGTAAATCGGACATCCAGGAAGTGTAAAGGAGTAGGTACAAAAAAAGACATGTTTGTTATTAGAATAGTCTCAAGTTATTTACAAAATATTAAATAAACAAGTCCACATAACATATTAAATCAGTAATCTCGTGAACACTGAGATATGAGATGGAGTCAAACACTATTATTACTACCTTCTTTAATATTTCAGGCATTAATTGAATTTTTTTACACCATGCTCTAAGCGTTGACACTGCTGGCAGAGGGTATCCTTTTTTCCGTAACAACCTATAGGCTCTTGTACCAGCTGATTGAATGATAATAGCTTTCGAAATATCTTCAATTGTCCATGTTACTCCCTTATAAGGATGTTTTAATTTACAGATTTCAGTGGTGGTGAAAAACCTGTGAAAAATTTCATTTTCTTCTTTGAATTTGGCAATTATCTCGTCTCTGTTGTCAGCATCAGTGTTCGTACTGGAATTTAAAAAAATCATGATTTATTGAAGAAGACAAAATAAATGCATTTCTCATGCTTTCTAAACTACCTTGCATCTCTTCTAGTGCTAACATCTTCTGTTTGCGCTACAGCATTCGAAATATTAATAATATGTCATCCAACACCTGATTTACTTCAATCTTATTACCAAAACGACCATCGCCAACACTCCTATAACTAAACAAAACCATGAAATATAGCTAATAATACTTTACGGTAGATTTCCCTCTGAAAACGTCTCTAAACCAATTTCAAATACACCAAAACAAGAAACTTACCTGGTTTGTAGAAGAGTCGCAACTAATTTTGACCTATTTCTTTTGTTAATGCGACTGGTTCGGGCCGATTCCCCTTTCACAACCTTTGAGTTTCCCAGTGGCAAATTGAGAAATGGTACGGCGTCTGGTTTCAACAGTCGACGATTTCGGGCGGTATAGCACAGTAGTTCAAACCGCAAATTCCGTTCATAAGACGACTCGTCAAAATGTTTCGAACATACTCTGGTAGTTTTCATATTAATGTGACCTGGCCGGTTACAAGCTAACACCCAACGCTTTTGAATATTTTGATCATTCGGGAACCGGAAAAGCATTAGATTGCTTGAAAACAGTTTTGATCCATTAGATGTGGTATATCCAACCACGGAACACCTCATTTTGTTGAAAACTAATTCACAAATTCCAAAAAAGCACCAAAATCTACACTGACAGATAATTATATTTAATTTGAAATTCACCGCGTGACGTCATGCACGTGATTTATAACTCCTCCTACATGCGCAATATCATTATCTTATATTTATTGTATCATGGGTCTAATGTACACAACGGAATAATATGTTTGTATTTAATAGTGTTGTAAATGTAGTATAATTAGCGTTAGAACCTTACGGTCTAAGCGATTGACTAAAGGGACACAGACAGGACTTACTACTGTCGTATTTGAGTCGAACTAATATCAATCCGAGCCGGATTTTAATCTTCACCTAACGTATTGGAGCCACTCCGATTTATAAACAAGACAGTTGCATGAAAGAAATGCCTACATTTCCTTGTACGGTTTCTTCATAGCTACCACGTGCATATATAGCAACACCGACGTTCAAATTTAAATGAACGTGGGTCATATTTCACACGATGTGCTTGTAATGAAGTCATATTTTCCATGAAAGGGCACACTTTTCACACCACAAAATCCCCTTACCAAAGGATCTTTAGCTTTGTCAGTACTTTCTAGGGAGAGGTTTTAATCGAATAGTGAACATTGAAATACTAGCTTTTCAATCGAGAAATAAAGCAGTTTAGATGAACTTATTCCTTTGTCCTGCTTGAAAACGTACGCAACTCAAATGGAGTCTCCTCAACATTCACCTCTCTGAAGTGTTGGTCCACAAATTACCCTACTTGATGTGGATGTAAACATTCGCTATCTCTGTGTAATTCCTTCATAAAAGGTAACTGGAGAACTGCTTTACTATCACGTTGGAAGTCTGCTTCAGTAACAGAACTTTGCTAGATAAATTAGTACGGACTTCCGCTCGAAGATAGGCAAAGGAGCTGATCGCTCTGATATGACAAGTGCATAAACTATACTACTGAACGTTGCGCATCAGTAAGCACTAAATTAATGTTGAAACTCGAACAGAATAAATCGCTCACAAACGGTTGTATTGTCAATATCTCTATTTCATTGAAACTTTCCATAGTTGCATTGCCTTAAGCAACACTTGGAAAGTAAAGAGTAAATTTGTGGTGATCGATGCGATGTAGCTAGCTGTCGGAAGTGAGTTTCCAGCATCTACAAACGGATGTAGCTTCCTAGTTGTACTTATATGGTTTAAGATTTATTGACTGGTTCAACAATGTGACTGTACAAAAGCTTTGATTGCTTGATGCGGTTATTCACGTAACATGCGCATCTTGAAGCGTTAATAATTTAATATTAGAATCTAAATAGAACGTTTCAAACATTTGCAGCAATTCACGTATTCAACTTAGTTCCATGAAAGACAGCATCTCTCAGTAATTACGGGTGTAACGAGATCCAACGGTGTCTCGAAGTCGTAACGGAAGACGTTTAGAATAACAGCTATTTATGCACGTAGAACAGTCTGAGCTACACACAATTCTGTCATTGTTAGTTTTACAAAATGAAAACAAGGTAGTTAGTACTTTTAAGGGCGACATCACACGTTTTAGTAGTCGCTAGGTGCTTACAATTTAAAAGTACATAGTTCAAACTATCTACAGCTTTTCCAGTTTTCTTTGAGCAGTCGACAGATTACTTTCAGATTGTACATTTTAAGTTCTGAATATATCAAATGAAATTCAGTTTATTGAATTTAATTTCAGAACTTGTCAACTGGTTTCATACTATGTAGATAAATTACCAGAATAGATCAATTGTATTTTGGAAGGACTGTATTTTTATATATTTCATATTATACAAGCTGCTATAAATCGGGAGAAACAAATTGAAATATGGACCCAAGCATGATCGTAACCAAGTCGAAGTGCCTACAAGGGGTTGCAGGTATTATTCTAGGTGGGGTTTAAGAAAAGAGGAAACCATCAGATTATTCGGTATATAAATTTCTACCTATCTAAAAATTATGAATTTACAAATAATTTTTATTGTTGTTTTATTAACTTCTTCGCTGCTCCATTGTTATAACTCCTGCTGCCGAAATTGCTCCAATTACATGTACGTTGGCAGATTTATTGCTCTGGGCCCAATACAAGATCGCCCTTTCTTCAAAGGCAAAACAAATCGATCCAAACAATTTATTTACCTTGGTGTATGTACTGGTTCAAATCCGCCACATATTCTGCTCGTCTTCGTTTGTTCTCTTCTTTATTCATGGTGGGTGGTTCATAATGTTTTGGTTTTACTGTGAAAACCTTCCCCTCCAAATAATTTTCTACTGTGGTTATTGATACCACCTTTTGGAAATTTTTTTCTTTAAAACTGGTTTCAGGTAATGTCACAATCTCGTTCCATCCATGACACTATTACTTTAATCAGCTCTTCATTTAAGATTTTTGGTTTTAAGCCTCCTTTTTGTAACATACCATAGCGCTCCGAATGCCTCCAATGAGATGCTACCTTATAATTTACATTCAACGTTACCGCCAGAGCTACTCAATCTTCACTCTGTTGCCACATGCTACAATCCTTTCTCGATCTTGATTCCTATGTTTTTACCACCCACACGTTAGTAATGGATGCATTGCATTGGGGTAACAAATGTCCCCCTCCTCCCACTTTTTTTACGAAATACACGTTTTGAAGCACCAGGAATCCGAATCAAACAAAATCTCGATGATATCGGTCTGTCAGTCCGTCTGTACTCTCATTTCCGGCTAAACGGCTGAACCGATTGGAACCAAATGTGGTAAGTACACACACACATATTCTTAGACATAAAAGGGCAGACTCGCATTTAATAGTTAACGCGTGCAAACATACCCTGGCAACGTCAGCAATATCACATCCAGAGGTATTTCTCAAATTAAATTGACTAATCTGCAGTACATGTGACGATTTATCAAATTCAATTTTCTCTTCCGAATTACATTTAACACTTTCTGAAAACTTGAAAATTTGAGCATTCGTTTGTGGGCCTGCACCTGTTACCTGTACCCTCCTCCGTCAAATTAATATTCGTTCAATTTTTACATTACCCAGTTCTCAACATTCAAACGACCAGCCAGCAATTAAGTTCGCTACTTTCCTTTTTTCAATTACAAATTTTTTAAATAATGTGGATAGATGCACAAAATGGGATCATTCCCTGATAATTATTGTTAATTGCAACTTGCTGTACAAATCCATTATTGTTTAATTTAGTTAGATATACAGGGTGTGGAATTCGTACACAGATATGAAAATGTCCATCTCTATCCAAGTGAGAATTAAAATTACACAGAGGGCGCAATTTTGAAACAATTCCATTTTAGGAACATTTCAGAAGTTTAAAAGTAAAAGAGAAAATGTTGATCTTGGAGATTCATTAAGATATCCAACTAACCAAGCCGTTTTAACAATAACATGTAGCAAATTCCCACCCATTAGAAATGAAACACATTTAGTTTCTCGATTTTAAGTTCCCAGACTGAATATTTGTGCAAAATGATCGTAAGATATCAACCTACTTCAATTTCACCATTGTTGACTGTGTACACTCGCGCAATATTCGTTGTATGGATTTCTAAATGGAGATCGGGATCGGTTAGTAAATAGAAAATTTAAATAGGTCTATTTGAGGTAACACGTGCAAAAATAAATTTAATTTTTCCATTAAGCGATTTCGTAAAATTCCCCATTAGATCTTTTGTCTGACTGGTGTACGGTATTTTCCGAATTATTCTTTAACAACGAAGAGTTTATGTTGGGTTTTATGCTTTAAATGTGCGTTAAAGAAGTCAGCCCTAATGCACCCTATAAATGAAGATTGAAGGTTTTATTTCTATACAACAGGAATACGTTTTATGGCGGTATACGGTTGTTTAATTCATTTACCGCAAGGATCAACTTTGTTGCAATGTTTGCATTAAAACATCACGTTCCGTTTTTCTTATTTGATAAACTAGTTAGTATAGCTCGAAATTCGTGCGGTTTTCTTGGGATTTACATTGGCCTAGTTGATTATTGACTAAGAATCTAATGCAAATGAATTTCTGAGGATTTTTATGAGTTGACACTGTTTCCGATAAAATATATTTTGTAGATCTTATTGCGGTTTGCCTAAAACAATGCGAAACATCCTGTTTATGAGAATTTTTTAATTATCAATGAGTATTTTTGTACATTTTCTTTTGGTTTGTAATTGCGTTAGATTTAGATTTTTTTATTTTATTGTAAAACGTGACATTGCGTATATGTAAATGTAGGCACATCTGGTCGTTTTCGATAGGAGCTTTTGTTATCGGAAGAGATTTCGTGTTTATTATACCGTTCGATCAGCCACCGATAATGTTCATCATCGTATTTAACATGCCAGTTTGTTTCTCATCAAGTTTGTGTGTTAAAGAAAAGTGAAGTTCTGAACGAGCACATTATTAGGATTATTTAAAAGAGAAAATTTCTTATTTCTTTTGTGGAATGCCTGAGTTCGAGGTAATTTGTCCAAACAAGCTCCTTTTGTTCAGGAATTTGGTTTAATTTTCGTTTTCAATTAATATTGTATATTTATTCGAACACATTGTGACCCTGGTAGATTTTTCATGTCAGCCTTTTCTTCTCGTTTTTAAGATTAAGCTTTCTGTAAGATGATAATGAAAATTTGTGTAGTTGATCCTCTCAAATTTATTAATTTAAGTCAATATTGGGATTTTTCATTCAGGAAGTGTACGAGGAGAAATCATAAAATATTTAAATTTCAATTTTGTTTTGTTTGAGCTAAAGAAAACTAATAGTTCCGATTCTTCACTAAAACTGGTAACACAACTGAAACGAGAGTATCCAGAGTTGTCAAAGAAAGCTGTTTCCGCCCTTTTAGCAATCGTAGCACATATATGTTCCTGAAACTATATTTTCTTCATATATTTCTACCAAAACCTAGT